TTTCATGAGCTGTAAGCCATAATCATCACACTTATGACAAATCACGGCTTGAACTACCTTGCTTTGCATGTAATAAGTCTATCTCATATATCAGTTTCACCTTTTAAGTTGCATTACTGAAATAAATGAACTTTTGCACGATATTCAAATTTTTCGAGTTTCACCTGTAGTTAGAGTTGGGTGGGGGAAGATGAAGTGAAAGAGAGAGAGGAGCTGTGTAGGGGTATGCTTCAGTGGCTATTGTTTAGCTAGTAGTACATCTATTCTACACTAGTCAAGATCAGTTCTCTCTGCTCTCTCACTGTGAGAGTAGAGAGAAGCGATGAAGCAGCTTGTGAGTGTGCAGCAGTCTGTATGGCTGCTTGTACACTCACAAACTAGTGTGCCAGAGACACCCCATTGTACATGATTTACTGCCCCAGTGTCCCTGATCACTGCCTATTGTAGTCTATAGTAGACAATACAGCCAGCCCTGTCACCTGTCCCAGTGCACACAAGAGCATGTCCATACACCATACCAATATCCTAATCACCGCCATACCAGCGGCCTGATCATCGCCATACGCCATCCCAGCACCCTGATCACCGCCATACGCCATCCCAGCACCCTGATCACCTCCATACGCCATCCCAGCACCCTGATCACCGCTATACGCCATCCCAGCACCCTGATTTCCGCCATACACCGTACCAGTGCCCGGATCACTCTATATGCCGTACCAGTATCCTGATCACCACCATGCCCCATAACAGCATCCTGATCACCCCATATGCCATACCAGCACCCTGATCACCACCATACACCGTACTAGCGCCCTGATCACCGCCATACACCGTACCAGCGCCCTGATCACCGCCATACACAGTACCAGCGCCCTGATCACCCTGTATGCCATACCAGTATCCCGATTACCACCTAGCCCCCTATCAGCATCCTAATCTGCCATACCAGCGTCTTGATCATCACCATACTCCATACCAGTTTTCTGATCACTGCCATAACCCATACCCATAGTGTTATCACCATACCAATGTCCTGATCACTGCCATACGTCCTACCAGCGACCAGCATTTTAAGGTCTCAAATGAACAATTTTCAAATATATATCCCATAGTTTGTAGACTCTAGCTTTCACACAGGCTAAATAATACACACTGTATTAGGTTATCTTAACCCCAAAAATGTAGCAGAATATATTTTGGCCTACATTTATGAAAAAAAAGATTTGCAAAATTTTACAACAAAAATGAAGCAAAAAAAAAATATATATATTTTTTAAATTTTCAGTATTTTTTAATTTATATAGCAAAAAATAACAAACCCAGTGGTGATAAAAATACCACCAAAATCTGTCTCAAAAAATGATAAAAATTTAATTTGGGTACAGTGTTACATGACTGTCCAATTGTCACTTCAAGTGTGATAGTGCTGAAAGATGAAAATTGGCCTGGACTGGAAGTGGGTGAAAGTGTCTGAACTTAAGGTGGTTAAATTGTACAAAATCATTAAAAGACCAGGGGCTGGCAAAGATCTGACACTTCGTGAGCAATGATGACATCATACACGGTGCAATGACAATTCTCCACAACACCATGGCAACATTGCTCAAAATATATGGGTGGGGGGGGGGCTGTCAGTAAAAGCTATAAGCTACCTGTAAGTAGCTTATATGTAAGTGTGAGACGGATTTTAAAGCAAGCACAACCGATTTAGAAATAATTGGCCCAAAGATAGATAGACTAGAACAGAGGTTCTTAACTACTTCCTGCCGGCCACATGCATTCAGTATGTGTGGCCTCTCTGCAAGTGGCCTTTAACACCAAGTGGCTGCATATATACAACTATATGTAAACAGTATACTGTGATGAGAGTGTGCTCCCAGCACAGTAAACTGTCACAGAAACCTCCCAATCCATACTTGCATTTGGGAGCTTTCAAGCATGTGACCACTGTGACAGCCAATCATGGTGGTCATATGATTAGAACAAAATTAGTGTAGCGTAACTAAAAATACAAACATTTATAGAATCAAAGTAAGTAAAATGATTAAAGTCCAATATAATCCACACCAAGTGTTATTGAAAAGTCCAATATGTATCCACACCAAGTGTTGCTAATGAAGTAACATCCATATATATCTGATAGCGTGAGGAAAGTGCAGCCGACAACCGTCAATTGCATTTCCTGGTGATCAGCGTGTCATTGGACACGGCTGATCACGTGGTTAAAGGCCGCTGTGATTGGCCTTTTACCACATCACGTGATCAGCTGTATCCGTAGGACACAGCGATCACGGAGATCACCGGGTGTGCTCCCCTGGGGGCGTGCAGGAAAGCGCGTTCTGGGAGGACGTCTTATGACGCCCTCCCAGAACTGGCCAGCTGCAGTGTAGCTGTCATTCGGCTATCTGCTGTCGGCAGGTGGTTAAAGGTGTGATTTTAATTGCACTGTCTCCTGGTTCATGGTTCCTGACAGAGCCCTCAGTCTCCACAACGCCCCTATAGTAACTCCAACATCCAACAGTATCACACAGTGCCCGCCAACCTCCCACAGTGATCCCAAGCCCCCTGAAGCTGAAGAGTTCCATAACCCACTCCACAACCCCATCCCCCATAGTGATACCCAGTCTCATCCAGAGCCTTCCAGCATTTCAATACATTTCCCATACTTTTATTGTGCGAGTATAAAATTTACTCTTTACTGTTGGTTTTAAAAGGAAGAATTTACCAGGCCCTGTTCTTAAAAAGGTTGAGAACCACTTGACTAGAAGCTGGATTGGACTAGACTAAGGACCTAGGATTTGACAGTTTTGTAAACAATGTTCTTACTAGCACAAAAACAAAATCTTTAATTCCTCTGTGTGAATTGGTTAGCAGTTAAATAATATGAAATACATTGCTTACTTTATGAAGGTCGATATTATTAGGTTGATGTTACTTTGCTCATAAGGCAAATATCACCAAAATATAACATAAAAAATTAAAAACTTCAACCTTTGTAAGTAATTTCCTCACACAGTGCTCTCATAGCACCCTCTGCTGGTAGACGACATCCTCTGTGTCTACATCTAAACCAAAGCTGTCCTGACAAACTGCAGTCACCAAAGACCGTCCAAGACCAAAGCGGTTTTAATTAAACTGATGTTTTTGTAGGTTCACCATGAGATGTAAACCACTACCTGACGACCTAGTCCTGTCTTGTCCTGGAAAGATGAAACACCATATGCTCTACCTCTGTGCCTTCCAGTCCAGGCTCTCATCATTCTGTTCTTGTATATTTATTTAGATTTTTTTCCTATTCCCTTCATACAATAACATCCAAAGTCTCATTGTTAATTTTGAAACTGACTTCACATCAAGATTCGGGTGACATCTCTGCAGGTCCTGCATGCCACTTTTGTGTGGGCACGGCAGCCCATTACTTTGAATGGACTGTTGTACCTGCAGGAAATGCAAGGAAAAAGTCAGAAACAGGCGGACTGACCATTTGGTAACTCGGGCACTGCCCGTGGGCTCGGGGTCAGTAGGGGGGCCCCATGAGATGCCCCTGGTACCTTTTTCATAGGCGTTTTTGAGTTTGGGCAAGGACACAGGGGCCCCATGATCCCCCATTGCCCGGGGGCCCCACGAGTTGTCAGTCCGCCCCTGGTCAGAAACCTTATACTATAAACACAGCCACATGGAACTACATGGTTCTGCAGCATCATGCAGTTTCATGAACTCAAAAGCAGCACATTTTCAGATGCATTGGGTTGCCATTAAGAATTAATGACACCTCCATGTGTCTTCAAAAAACAGAACATTTTGTCTGCAGGTCAGGGAACATGTGCAATTTACATGTGCTCTTAGACCAGCTACATTGGGAACCTAGGCTTAGGCCTCTTGCACACAAATGCTATAATTTACTGATGTTTATATACATGATCTTGTTGGCAGAAGCTGGCAGAAAGATCCTGAATAAAAAAAAGAAAAAAAAAAAACACAAGTGATATTCCATAAAGACCTTCCATATACACTCACCGGCCACTTTATTAGGTCCACCTTGTTAGTACCAGGTTGGACCCCCTTTTGCCTTCAGAACTGCTTTAATTCTTCGTGGCATAGATTCAACAAGGTGTTGGAAAAAATCCTCAGAGTTACTGCGTTGCCTGTCTATCATCTTGAACCAGTCTGCCCATTCTCTGACATCAACAAGGCATTTTCATCCACACAACTGCCACTCACTGGATATTTTCTCTTTTCTGGACCATTCTCTGAAACCCTAGAGATGGTTGTGTGTAAAAATCCCAGTATATCAGCAGTTTTTTTTTTAAATACTCAGACCAGCCCGTCTGGCACGAACAACCAAGCCAAGTTCAAAGTCACTTAAATCCCCTTTCTTCGCCATTCTGATGTTCGGTTTGAACTTCAGCAAGTCGTCTTCACCACGTCTAGATGCCTAAGTGCATGGAGTTGCTGCCATGTTATTAGCAATTTGTGTTACCAAGCAACTGAACAGGTGTACCTAATAAATTGGCCAGTGAGTGTACATGCGTATACACATGTAAGATTATTTTTTCCCCTGTTCTAGCTGCCAATGTTTCAATGTATGTTTATATGTATAACACATTACATGATATACGCATAATTGTTTAACCCAAACATAACATTTTCTTTTCTTATTTTACAGTTTAACCACTTTAACCTACAAGGCACTTATACCCCTTTCCTGCCCAGGCCAATATTCAGCGCTATCGCATTTTGAATGACAATTGCACAGTCATGCAACACTGTACCCATATGAAATTTTTATCATTTTTTTGAGACAGAGCTTTCTTTCAGAGGTATTTAATCACCTCTGGGGTTTTTATTTTTTGCTGAACAAATCAAAAACTGAAAATTTTTTTTAAAAAAAGTTCTCCTAGTTTCGGTTATAAAATTTTGTAAATAAGTGATTTTCTCCTTCACTGATGTGCGCTAATGAGGCTGCAGTGATGGGCACTGATAGGCACTGACAGGAATCACTGATGGGCACTGAAATGTAGAACTCATATATGGCACTGATAGGCGGCACTGACCGGCACTGTAAGGTTGCACTGATGGACACTAATAGGTGGCACTGAAAGGCAGCTCAGATGGGCACTGATATGTGGCATTGATGTGCACTGGTAGGAACTGATATATAGCATTGATGTGGCACTGGCAGGTGGCATTGATGAGCACTGACAGGTTGCATTGATGGACACTGACAGGTGGCACTGATGGGGCTACACTGATCATCAGGGCACACTTATCATGAGTGCCCTGATGATCAGTGTACATGCCCCCTCTGAGGAATGATGATTACTGGCTCTCCTCTCCTCACGATCTGTCAGCGTGACAGCTCATGAGGAGAGAAATGCCTATAACTGGCATTTCCTTATTTACATGCGATCAGCTGTGATTGGACATGACACCGCGGATCACCGATCAACATGACAGAGCCGACGTCTTCGGCTTTGTTGATCGGTGATTCGAGGTGTTCCACCAATCGCAATGCCTTGTGCCCATCATTTCCTTATATGGCGGGTGGGAGGTGGTTAAATAGCATTGCTACATTATTGATCTTGATGTGTGCATTGCTCCATAGACAACAATGCAGCTGGGTTCAGATCTGTAAAATAGAAAAAATGCTTCACAGCTACAAAAATGGGGCTTTTTTTTCTGCAGTTTGGCACTGCATGCTTTTGCTGAGTCCATGATCCAAAAAAGATCCCCTTGCTTGTAACTGTCCTTTCAATGTATTATTACATTATGCCACCTTAATGAACTGCCCTCATATTGCATTACTCAATTAACACCAGCAGAAGTTTAAAGTGGAACTTCAGTCTCTCAATCAACATGGACTATATTGAATCCTTATGCTGCTAGCATTAGTAAATAGATGGGAAAGTATCATATTGACTTGTATATAGAAAATGCAGCGCTATCTGGTATTATCATGCTATAGGCAATTATGATGAAGAAAATATTAAATGCAAATGAATATATGGAATAAAATAAATCACAGTCCAAAGAAAGTGCTCGCTGATTCCCAGTGCAGATGGTAGAAATGCACACTAACCAGAAGCATATTGGTAATACGCATATGTGTAAAATATCCTAAAGATTCCCCTCTCTTTTCTGGTCTGGTCATGGGCAGGAGCTAGAAAATGTGAAGATGAAGCGCCCTCGTGTGGAGAAGATGAGGTCCAGCGGGTCAGAGAAATCTTTACCAAGCTGTAGTCCCCCCACTCAGGAGCTGGTACAGAGATCACTCTGGGGCTGTAAAAATTGAAAAGGCTCCTCGCAGGAGACAGAAGGAGGAACTCATAGTGTAGTAGGTAATAGACTTTATTTGAAAAGCAAGGATATGTACTCAAAACCGCAGTGGTGCCAAATCTGAATGAACAAACTGACCCTTTAAATATAAAAGATGGCCGGCGGGCCTCCACGTGGCACCGGCGGTGTAGTGTCAAGGCGTCCTGGGCTCCACCCGACGCGTTTCGTGCACACGCACTTCTTCAGAGTAGAGCCCCCCCGAGTACCACCCAAGTAAGCCACTTGTATTTTTGCAGGCTGGATCCCGAGCTACACTGTGTTGGTCTATTAATACACGTAGTGTGACGTCAATGGATTTGATTGATCGCAGTGAGAGCCAATGGCTCCAGCTGCTCTTATTGAGTCCAGTGAGGAGGGAGCAGCGCTGCTACTCTCATGCGCAGTGCTGGACTGAGATCGGGCTCACATAAGATTTAGGGGGGCTGGGAGGGAGCTGTACATAAAAGGTTTTTAAATTTCTACTTTATTGTGGTTGCAAAGGTTAAATTTTTTTTACCTTAAAGCAATTTGCACTATATCTCCTACCATTTAAATGTTACCAGCCCACTGCCCCTCATCGTGCTGGATACAATGGAGTACACATCCCAGTATGAACACCTTTTGCTTAATTTTCTGTGCAGTCACATGACCACAAAGGCTGAGCCCCTCTGTGTGATGTGTGGCTGGTGAGAGGAAATAGTGAAAGTCCGCAGTGTGATGTCATTGAATGCAGTGCAATGGGGTGCCAGCATTTTAAATTGCCTAAACTTCAATTTTAAAGTTGAACTCGGGCCATAATTACTTTTGCATATTAAAAATGAATAACTACCAATAAATTGTAAAGTCTCTCACTTTCGTTCATTCCACACTCTCCTGCTGGTGTGACATGCCGCATGCTGAGATGTCCAGTTCTGGCTGTAGGACATTGATCACAATGAATCGTTTGCTGTTCCCTATCCTCCGTTCAGGAAAAGCCTTGCATTCTTATCACAGAATACAAGGCATACTGTGATTGGAGGAAATCTAGATTAAAGTAACAAATCTCCTGTCTTCTAATGATAGGACACCTTGCATTCTGTAAAAAAAACACAAAGCTTTTGCTAAATGGAAGATGGGGTACGGTAAGTGACTTTAAGTGATCCACAAAAAATAATAATTACTATCTTTCATCTTCTTACTGCTCCATATCTAGTCAGTTGCTATAGGTTACTACACTTTTCATTAGTGCTGTTTTGCTACCTTATTAAATAAACATACTGTAGTTTAGAGTTTCTGGGTACATTATATCAGTAAAAAGTATAAATTTTGTATGTACTGTATGTATTTTGTATAAGATGAATATACAGTTCATAAAAAAACAACAATTTATTAACTATAGAAAATGTAAAATGACATTCACTCCAGGGATAAACCAAAAAATTAAAGGAACACTTTTTAATCAGTATAGCATCAAGTCAATTAAACTCCTGGGATATTGATCTGGTCAGTTAAGTAGTAGAGGGGATTGTTAATCAGTTTCAGTAGCTTTGATATTAATGAAATTAACAACAGCTGCAGTAGATGGGCAAAATGAGATGACCCCCAAAACAGGAATAGTTTTACAGGTGGAGGCCACTGACATTATTTCCCTACTCATCTTTTCTGATGGTTTTTCACTAGTTTTGCATTTGGCTAGGGTCAGTGACACTACTGGTAGCATGAAGCGATACCTGGACCCTACAGAGGTTGCACAGTCAGTCCAATTCCTCCAGGATGGCACATCAATACCTGCCAATGCCAGAAGGTGTCTCCCAGCACAGTCAAGAGCATGGAGGAGATTCCAGGAGAAAGGCAGTTACCCGTATTTTTCGCTCCATAAGACGCACTTTTTTCTCCCAAAAAAAAGGGGGGGAAATGTCAGTGCGTCTTATGGAGCAAATATAAGTGGCCGGTCCCGGTATTTCTTACCGCCACCATGTCAGAATACCGGGCCGGCCACTCAGCTGTTCTCTGCGGCAGAAAACTCACCTGTTTCTTGGTCTAGCGCTGTAGTCTTCCCGCGCCGGCTTCTTCCCACCTCGAAATCTGTGACAGCCAGGTGCCCACTGAGCATGCGCGAGAAGGGCTGTGCTTTGTGAATGGTCCGGAGTCTTCTGTCTTCCCGCGCATGCGCAGTGGGCACTCGGTTGTCAAAGTCGGGTGCCCACAGTATAGGAAGGAGAAATCCGTGGAAGTGGGATTCCCCATAGCATGGATTTTGTTTCCCATGAGATCTGATGTGATTTTCCATGTTTTCCTTTAATTTTTTTTTGATGCAGTGTATGTTGTACATGTATATATATATATATATATACAGTCATGGCCGAAAATTGTTGGCACCCTTGATATTTTTCCTGAAAATCAAGGTACCTGTCAAATTCAGGTACCCGCTCCCCCTCCCTCCCTAAAGGTCTACAGTGTCTGGTCATCCCTGTACGGTCTGCAGTCCCAGGGTACCATCTGTCATCTCATTAGGAGCATGCCCTGACATTTTCAGGCATGCATAGAAGCAAGTGGGAGCCAAACTACTGAGTACCATTTTGAGTTGCTGCAATGACATTTTAGCAAAATGGACTAGCCTGCATCATTTTTTCACTTTGATTTTTGGGGTGTCTTTGAATTCAGTTCTCTGTAGGTTGATAATTTTCATTTCCATCAAATGATTGGGCATCTTTACGTTCCTAACACATTACCCAGTCCATATCAGTATAGATATCCAGCATGATTTGTTTCCCCATTGAGATCTGATGTGTTTTCCAAGTGTTCCTTTAATTTTTTTTGAGCAGTGTATGTATGTACAGTATATATATATATATATATATATATATATATTTCGTATATATATATATATATATATATTTCTTTATTTTTTTTAGCAGAGGCACACTTTAATTTTAATGTCCAAAAACAAAATATAATACCAAACTGTTTGGTAAAACATACACAATGATGTTATCCTGAGTAAATAAATACCAAAGATGTCACAGTTTAAAACTGTGTCCGTTTGCAGCGACAAACTACAGTACCTAAAAATCTCCATAGGTGACACTTTAAGAGCCCTTACAGGTTACCATTTAGAGTTACAGAGGTCTGGTGCTAAAATGATTTGCCTTGCTCTGACGTTTGTGGTGTTACCTCACATGTGTGGTGTGATGCCATTTATATATGCATGCAGGACCTACGTTCATGTGAGTGTGTGGGGGACAGGGGCACTTTAATTTTTTTTACGTTACTTATTTTATTTAAAAATGTTTACACTTTTTTTTTCCTCTTTACTTTTTTTTATTACTATCAGAAATGATAAACAACATCACTTATGATAGCATGGGCCATGACAGGTCTTCATTGTGGAGAGGCCCCAGATCTCTCCTCTGGCCTCCAAAGCATCTGATCAAACCTAGATTGGTTTGATCAGATGCTTGTTCAAGTCAATAAATGCTTGACACGAGTCTGGAAATTAATCAATCCCTGTCACATTCGGTTTTTGATGTTACACAATGGATGGAACAACATCGGTTCCTCTCATTGTGACCCCCTTCCACTCCCTATAAAAGTAATCCATTTGCTCCTTAGCCACTAAGATTACTTTTACATTAAAGGGAATTGCCAGCCCTAAAAAAAAAAAAAAAAAAAAAAAAAAAAAAGGATATCTTGATCTTTGCTGCAACTACATCGATGACCGAGATATCACCCTTCCAATCCAGCAACGTACCTGTGTACATTGCTGGATGGGAAGTGGTTAATCATGCTTTGCTCTAAATTTAATGATACAAATCTTTATATACCAGGGAAATTATTCTTTTTTTATTCATCCCTTAAGAAAAAATGTCACTGCTCTGGGCTCGGTTTTCTTATTAGTGCACCTCTCTGCTCTCAGTCCCACCACTATGTACTGGAGAGGCGGTACAGTATGGTGGAGGTCACACATTAGCAGCTCTGGTCCACAGACTGAGCTGAAGCCCTCTAACCAATAATATCTCTACTATACCTGACATACCTTACACTTGTAGGTGACAGATTGGGGGCACAAAAGGGGCCTTTCACCAACTTAACATTTCCAAAATACACCCTCTCTCAACTAACAACACTACTGAGCTACTAATTTACTTGCTTGTTATCACAGTGGGAGTTCTGTTCATTTGTACACCAGCCAG